GTGCTCACCGTGCTTCGGATGGCACGTAAAGCTGTTGGTGCCAGATACGTAAGTAGTCGATAACACTACAAATCTAAGCCAAAAGGTTACACTAATGGAAGATGTATAGATGTATAGAAGTCAACTGACTGTAGTACTACCAATTTATAACAACAAAAACTACCGAAAAAGAAAAGAAAAGCCGAAAACCTCACGACCAACGTGGTCTGGAATTGTCAGAGAGATCCCGGACACATCCTTATCGCAGTGTCCTGGAACTGTCAGAGGGTTCTAGACCTTCGTGGTCTGGAATTGTCGGAGGGTTCTATGCCAACGTATCATGACGTACGTACTCGTTGGCCCCCATCGTGATCCAAAATCGGCATACCGATTCCCGCTTATGTGACGTCAAACGCACATACACATACCAGACGCACGTCTCTGATACATGATATTCGTAGGATTCTTCTCTAACATCAAAATTCAACGACGACCAACTTTTTTAGATGCACTGGTTTTAATGTCCATGCTTCCAAGCTATAAAGGAGAGTAGTGAATAAGTAATACTAAAGCAGTCTCCTAATCCTATCTTAATTTCTTTGGTTTGGTCTACATTTGATGTTATCCTCTATTACAGTATCCTCAGCAATCAATTAGATATTTGCATCTGCTGATTTAGTCAAGATCATGCATTTAGTTTTTTTCAAATTCATCCTTAGTTCGTATTCATGACAGCATTCATTAAGTCGTTGCATTACGTTCTGTAAATCATTGTTGTTATCCGTCATTATTACTGCATTGATAGATATACTTTCTATTGAATCTAAGAGCGATTCATTAAATACCGCTTCACTCTAGACATTGAAGAGTATTGGTGACAGAACGCAACCCTGGCGGACTCCTCTCTGTATTTTGATATCTCGGGTGTTTTGGTTGCCAACTCTTACCTTGGCAGTTTGATTCCAATATAGAGTAGATATAATTTGCATATCACGACTATCAATATTTTTACTTTTTAATATTTCTACAAGCTTTTTATTTTTAACCTTATGAAATGACATAATTCTTCTTCTTAAGGTGCCTTCTCCATTACTGAAGGTTGGCAAATTGCTCTCTTATCTTGAGCTGTTCTTAGTATCGAATATGTGTCCATGCCTGTCCAGTCTCTTATATTCTTTAACCAGTAGCATTTTCTTCTTCCTGGACCCCTTCTTCCTTCCACTTTCCCTTCCATTATAAGTCGTATTTTTTTCCTCTGTAAATATGTCCTAGATAACTCGTTTTTCTGTTTTATACAATATTTAGGAGTTCTCTCACTCAGTACACATTCTTCTTAGCACCTCGTTGTTGGTCACGTGCTCTGTCCAAGAGACCTTCAGCATCCTTCGAAAAACCCACATCTTAAAGGCTTTTATACGCCTCATACTTTGTAACCGTTTCAAAAGTTTTAGAAAATTCATTATAAATTCGATTATTTTTTTTTTAAATAAAACTACTAACCCCATCTATCTGCCGGGTACTTGTAGCCGACTCAAGGATTCTTCTGTAATTCCCAAACATATCCGGTAGATGAGAACGTTCATTAACTTGTCACTCAGGTCTCGATTCACAGCGGTAAGGCATAGCGTCTTTCTTTTTTTCTCTTAAAACGTCCAACCGTTAAGACGTGTTTCCGAAGTGAGTCTCTGTAGAGGTAAGCCGAAAAAATCCTTTTCTTGTCCATATTTTCAGATAGATATTTATTTTTAGACCCTTATTGGAGAGGCTAGAATGCTGATATGTATCTAATACATGTCTCAAGATAATATTGATATGGAGTTGTTCCAAATCCTAGTCCAGTAACAGTATCTCTTTATGGTGTGGTATATTGATATGAAATGGAGTCGTATCAATGGTTTCATTTGGTTAACTGATTAAATAGTGAAAAGAAACAGAGCATATCCTTTTTCTTCATAGTTACCAGCTATTGGATAATTCAGGTTGTACCAATTTTTATTATATCTTCTATCAAGAAAGGGAGAAATAATTATGAACTCATCGAGGGCATTTTGAAAGATATTTTCGGAATATAAATTAAATAACAGTGGAGAAAGTACACAGCCCTGACGAACTCCTCTTTTTATTGACAATTCTGATGTCAGATGATTGTCTATTTTGATCGACGCCAGTTGATCCCAATATAGTTTTTTAACAGTGCTACTGGGAAAAAACTAACTGCTTAAGTGCTACAGTGTTATGGTCTATACGATATATATGATCAAACGCTTTTTCGTAGTCAATAAAACAGAGAAACTCGTCTTTTCGCTGATCTCGGCATTTTTGTAGTAATTTCTGGAGGCCAAATAATGCCTCCCTTGTACCAAGCCTCATACGAAATCGAAATTGATTGTCGCTCAGGTTTTTTTCACATTCTCTGTATATTCATATTTCACACTCGTGAAGTACAATTTTGAGTAGAATTTTCAGAAAATGGCTTATCATGCTAATTAATCTGAACTGTGAGCATCTATTTGATTTATTTTTCTTGGGTATAGGTATAAATGTCGATCTAAGCCAGTCTTCTGGGAAGATTCCAGTGGTATATATTTTGTTAAATAATAGTGTTAACGTCTGAAGATTTTCTTCATTGATAAGCTTTATCATCTCAACGTATATTTCATCTGGACCTGAGGCTTTTCGTGGCTTTGCCCTATTCATTGTTTTTGTAACTTCCGATGTTAATATATCAAGTATTGTTTCTTGTACTAGATTCATTTGTGGTTCTGTTCTCTCGTCATCAAACAGATCGAAAGATGACAGAATTATACGGAGAAAATGTCAGGAGATAGAAAAACAAGTTAAACAATATATGGCGACATAAAGGCAAAGAGAAAAAAATGATGATTCATAACACAATAATTATAAACAGCTTCATAATGTCGAAATTTGTAAATAGACCGAATTTGAGAAAAAGATAACCGTTTGGTAATGAGTGGCAAAAATGAGATCCATTAGATTAGACAACCATCGGTGACGAACAAAAATTATAGAAGTCTTAGAAAATCGACAGCTGAAATGATTGTAGGGTAAACGTATCTCGATAAGACCGAAAACAAGATGAGGAACTAACATCCAAAAAGCAATGCACATGCCAAACTTCCACAGGTGAATATACCGAACATGACGAGATGATCTAAGAGAAAGGACAGCCTAGATAGAGACTTTGAAACCTGTATATATTTTAATATAAATATTCAATTATGGTATTGCTATTAGTAAAGTTCTGTAAGTTACTATATATTGCTTAATGTTATCTTTTTCTTCTTTATACACAAATAAAATTTACTACACATTATTTTTCTGTTAATTAGTCTCGTTTAAAATACTGACGGTTTCAAATTGCTATATAAATAATAAATATTTGTCTCGCCAAATAATTTTACCAGACAAATAACCCCGAGCGCTGTATCCCTCTCTAGAGAATGCGGGATAAACGATTGTTATTAAGCAGATGTCTGATTCAAGCACAAGAAAACATATAATAAAACGAATCGTCAAAGCGAATCCATTTTATTTTCAAAAATTAGATGTGAATACGCAAATTAGATTAAATAGTGTGATTCACATAATTAGACAAACAATCGAGAAATACCACGAACACAACATAGAACTCCACACCCTCTTCGTAGACTTCAGACAAGCCTTTGACTGTATTGGAAGAAATAAATTATATAACGCTAAAGCTAAACGTATTATGATGTCAAATCAAAATATCACAATAGATGGAAGTAGGATTGAAAACGTCGAGTATATATACCTAGGTCACAAGATCAAACTAGGCAAACAGAATAAAATGCACAAACTAGAAGAACTAGAAGAATCGGAATGACTTGGACAGTAGTAGAAAGACTCAGTGTTGTGTTAAGAAACAGAAAGATACCAATAAATTTAAGGAAAACGGTATTCAATAGTTGTATTACACAAAAACATAAAAGAGATTATAGAAAAATCCATCGAATACAACAATTACGTGTGGAGACCACGAGCTGACAGAAGAAGGTAGACCACCTGCACGGTCGACAGATGACGTCAAAAGAATCGCTGGGAGTTGGCTGCAGAAAGCTCAAGACCGACAGAACTAAAAGAAATTAGGGAAGGCCTTTGTTCAGCTTTCGACAAGGGAAACTCCGTCCTGAAAGCAGAACGAAGATGAAGATGTAATTGGAAAAATTGCAAAAATGAAATGGGAACTGAGTAGGACACGTGGCACGACAAAACAACGAAAGATGGACGACAAATATTATACATTGGAGACCACGTGAGCACAGTCGTAGTAGAAGAAGACGACACAAATGGTGGCTAGCCGATATTAAAGCAAAAGTGGGGAGAAACTGGCACCAAATAGCACAAAACATAGAAGAGTGAAGAGACTTTTGTCCAGGAACAGATGCAAACAGACTGAAGAAAAAGAAAAAAAAATCGAATCAACAAAGACTACATGGATGGATCTCGAGTTAAAATAACAACAGAAAAAGGAAGCACAAACCTAATTGGCCACGTGATGCGGAACGAAGAAAAAATATCGAATTCTTCAACTCGATATGCAGGGTAAAGTATTTGGCAGAAGAGGACCGGGGCGCCGTCGTATTTCGTGGTTGAAAAATCACCGACAATGGTTTGGGATGACCTCAGCGAAGCTGTTTCGCAGAGCCGTCAACAAAACCATGATAGCCTTGATGATCGCCAACATCCGGATCGGATAAGGCACTGAAGAAGAAGAAGAAACCTAATTGCAAAGGACAAACAAAATATCTAATCCTCTAGAAGAGAAGATAACAAGACGAAAGAAATCATGATAGATAACTATTTTTGTGAACTAATTTTTGTGAATGGCAAAAATAAAAAAGTGAACAAATAACAAAGCGAATAATGAAGATGAAGAAAAATTAAGAATATCCTTAGAAGAATTATGAACCAGATAGGAATGGAAAACAGAGAAATGAGAAGAAGAGTGATCTTTCATAAGAAAGAGAAGAAACGACCTATTGATTAAGAAGGTCACCAAATGGAAGCCAAGAAACTGAAAGACCAACAGGAAGACCTAAAGAGAAATGAAAGATATCTAAGTAAAAATAAGGTCATATGAAAAAGAACAAGAATGTTTAAAAAATGTTAAGACACAATAGACTTTTCGGACGAGGAGGAACCTTTTAGTGCACGTGAGTCGAAGTATGAAAAAGTCATATCCAGGCTAATGGAGTAGAAGGTAGTGTTGCTTTTGCCGTTGACTGTAATTTTGTGGAGTCCCCAGTCTTTGTTTGTGGACCTATCTTCTGACGCCTCTTCAAGAAGATCTTGAGGTGTATATAATCCAGGGCAGCACCAGAATCCTTGAAACCACCAGCTAAGTTCCTTAATAAAATTTATTACTTTCCTGTCAACAGAGACAGATTATTTCTTATATAACGTAACTTAGTAAATTTCAAAATGTAGACCTTGAATTGTGACCTTAATAGGCTGAGAGAATAACAATGCACAGGCAATGCAAAGGAGCAGGATACAACGACCCATAGAGATCTCATGCTCGCCGGGTTAATTTGGCGATGTGATATTGAATTTGTTTCTTGGTACAATTTTGGTACCTAGAAATAGATTCAATATTTCATTATCTTACACTAGTTTCCTTTCGTAGACGTCTACGCTTTAAGCAATATATATTCCAGAGATTTGGAATAGAGAGCCAAAGATTTGGAATAAAATCGTACAGATTCTATCATCAAGGCGATTATACACATAACCTAAAAGTGTACTGTTGTAAAGATAAAACTTAATCATCAATGACCAAACCTTCGAAGCAGTCAAAGAGTTCGTATATCTAGGGACATCGGTTAACCCCAATAATAACACATCTGAGGAAATAAAAAGGCGAATAATAATTGCAAACAGGTATTATCATGGTCTATCAAAGTACTTAGCTAACAAACGTCTGTTTAAAAAAACTGGTCTCGCCACTGCAGGCGTGACCGCCTACAGTGGGCAGGACATGTAGCCCGGGCTCCTGAATTGAACATGATAAAAAAAGATTCTAACAGCGCAACCCATGGGAATGAGAAGATGGGGTAGACCAAAGCTGAGGTGGACGGACGGAGTAACACAAGATGCCGAGAAGATCGGAGTCGGCAACTGGAAAATGCAAGCAAGGGACAGATCATAATGGCGTAGAAAGTTTGAGAAGGTCGATGCCCTTTAAGGGCTGTAGCACCAAGATGATGATGATGGTAAAGATAAAACAGGCAAGATAAATATTTGCAGAGCCACTAACACTGTTTTGGAGCTGTCAGAAAATTTACTTGAAAAGAGGCGGACTGTTTACACAGACAATTTTTATAGTAGCGTATCTTTAGCGTACGAGCTTCAGAAGAGTAAAACACATTTAGTGGAGAATTTCTTTCTGATCAAACAAAGGCATATTCTACTAGTTTACGAAATAGGATCAAATGGTACCGAAAATTAACTAACGGGAATTTAGTAGAATTGCTAACAGGAACTACTATACTTATAAATGCGCATTGTTTACATCAGATGGTAACAAAAAAATGTCCATCATGAAATTCAAGGAACAAGTTATCACTCAGACTTTGGACAAAAGTTTTACAAGACATCCTCCACCAAATCAAATCCACGAAAATCATGTTTTAGTTGATGATAATAAGAAAAGAAGATGTACGGCTTGCTACGAACAGCCATGATTGGAAATATGCCCAAGGTAAATCTTCACAAACTCGCACAAATATAGTGCTTGTAAAAATTTTTATTGATTTAAATGTTTTTTTATTACTGATAAATCAGAATTATTAATTCAATAATATTCATTAAAGGAGTTTGTTAAGTTTTATTCGTATTTTATTAATACAATGATAGTTGTATTATCAATAATTTTCAAACGGAGTATAACACGAAATTCTAAACGTCTCATACCATAAAGTAATAAACGAAAAGCAAATAATGGATATATAATCATTATGAACAGTTAAACGTACTAATGATATCGAATAGTTCTAATCGCAACAATCAAAAAACCATTGTAAAATCAATAAACTCATTTTATAAAAATGCACAATGTTGTTTAGGAAATGCTCGCGATCTAAGTAAAAATAATGTTTCACGAAGGCAATTTCCCTCGACAACATCGATTTTCACTAATTCTCGCGTACCTACACGCAAATAATCGTATCTGCGGCAGTGACTAATGATCCGCCGAGACGGAAACATCAATCATAAAGTTTAGGTTGTCGTGTCGTATCGTATATTACAACTACTTTTAAGATATTATGACTTGGAGCAATTAAGGACGTGATGAATGTCTTGCTTTTAAATGTTACTGTTTTGCTCTTTTTAAAGCGAATCACAATTTCATTTTTATTTCGTATTTTTTATGTGTTGTGTTTCTAGTATAATCTATTGGACTTTTTCTTTAAACACTCAGTGCAATTATTAGCTCTCCACTCTGTAGTGGAAAATTTGGGTGGAAAGCTTAAATTTCTGTCTTTGAATCTGTTTTCGACCTACAACTATCTGATAAGTCCCAATAAGGCAAAACATGCCACATTTTGTGCCGGTCTCAGCTTGTGTAGAGAAGGGACACTGAACTGAGTAGGGATCCTTCAGTACTTTGTGCAAGACAGACTGGGCGGGGAAGTCCTCAACCCCGACGGCTGATAGGGAACGTTCCTGTAAATATGCAGAACAGGTATGAATAAGGCTTCGCCAAATAAGTAACCGCGGATCAACGGAGGACATGGCACAGATCAGTAGCCGTGTCATTAGTGGCCCGTGGCTGAGGAATACAATTCCTGGCAGTTGCGGTAGCACAAAGTCGCAGGCGAAAATCAAACACTGATTTAACCGGCTGTGATACTGCGAATACTCACCAACCCATCCGGCAAGCATGGTATTTTAATGCCAATATACCCCTCAAAATATAACATGTTGAACTTGAAACAAAATGGGACAAGGTGGGTACAACTAGGGGCTCAGAATCACATACAGGAAAACCTGTCAGCCTCACGAATTCTGGGGGAGGCACAAGCTCAACAAAACGCTCCAAAATAGATACGAACAAACAAAACTAGTTACTACTAGCCACATACAACATCCAATCTATGGCTAAAGATGAAAAGGTCTACGAATTTGAAGAAGATCCAAGATAAAATAGGATTTTATAGGACTGTCAGAAGTAAAAAGAAGAGGTGAACAATGCATGCATCTAAACTCTGGAAATCGACTATACTACACACTACAGGGAAAATAGACGTAACATATGGTGGAGTAGGATTTCTGGTCAAAAAGTATCTCACACCATACATTTCTACATATAAAAGCGGTGCTGATAGAGTAGCTTATATTATAATAGACCTAGATAATGAAACCAAGTTCAAGGTTATACAACTGTATGCTCCAAGAACAACATATCAGGAAGAGGAAGTTAAAATGTTCTACGAAGATTTGATAACAGCATTAGAAGAAAATGATACAAAATATACCATCATTATAGGAGATTTAAACGCAAAATTAGGTAAAAAAAAATATATACGGAAACTAAAATAGGGATGCATGGTTATGTCTACTAATTTAAAACGCAACAATGTATGAACCATATCAGATATTGTGACCTACTGAGAAAATACTACAATGATAGTAATTTCGCAAAACCAGTTTTCGTTAATAAAAATGATTTTTTTTTTACTTTTGTTGGTATACATTTATATACACTTCTTTAAATTTCATATGGTACCTACAGAATTACTAAAGGTCCATTATTTTCTGACTTACGTTATTACAAAAGAAAGATCTTTGGATAAACAATTAGAATAACTTTTAAGCTAATTGATGAAGCGATCTAAAGTTTCGGGGGTTTTGTAAGCATCGCAAGATACAATTTTTGCGGCAATAAGGAAAGAGCAGTATTTTATGAGTTTTAAAAACAATTAAGGGTTTTGCCTTATCTTGCATTTTGTGAGCATCAAATTAAGTTTACGTTTTCTATAATATGTCATTTTAAATGTTTGGATAGATTTAAAAAACCTTTGCGGAAACATATAGATTTTATTTCTGTAGATCTATATTAGGTAAACACTTTTGCGATACCTTTTTGTTATTGAGAGTGAGATTTTCAATCAATCGACTCATTCTTGTTTTATACGAAAAAAATGTTATAAAACCGATAAGAATTGCTAAAAAATGTGAGCCGAAAATCCACTCAAAGTTATTTCAAAACCTAAATCCTTTTTTTTTTAATTCCTGTGTTCAATCACGAAACAATACTATGAAGATAAACTTTGCAAAGTTCCAGCAAAATCGGTCGATTCATTTTCGAGAAATTATTCCTACCGTATGGAAAAACAAAGTTTCGGGAAAAACGTGTTTGAAGTTGAAGTTTGTAAACAACACGTACTGACCTCGCGATATTCAAATCTCTATTACTCCGGTAATATTGCTCGAATCTGCGTCAAATTTGATGTAAATACTCTTAAAGTACTATACTTTCAGATAAAAGACAAGCGTACCACAATGTTAGTTTGAAATCTCCCATGGCCGCATCTCGAAAAGATGAAATGAAACGGTGTTTGCGGAACAAAAACATATTATTTTCAAATATGATAAATGGTGATTTCTAAAATATAAAGATTTATAAATATTTCTTCCCACGTTTAATAGCTACTGATATCTTATTGGTATTAAATCAGGTTTTCAGATCTAGTGACTATAATAATTAACTTAATTGTAAAACAGAATTGTAAACTAAAACAAAGACTTACCGGTGTTACTAATACTATTGGCATTGGCGTTGGCACTAGCCTGTGCAAAGTGTGGATTCTGCAACAGCTGCTGCTGCAGGAGGGCGTGATTCATAGGCGGCAGGTGTGAGGGTGGCGGCGGTAGGACGGGGTAAGGAGGTGGTTGTGGTAAAGGAATTGTATTACCACCGGCACCAAGTGAGCCTCCGTGGCTTAGCTGCGGCGTATGGTGTCCGCCTCCGTTGCCGGCTGCCGAAGCATTATGGCCACCGCCACCCGGTACCTGCTGGGCGCCGCTCGGAGGGAATGGAGGAAGCATGGGATCTACCGGAAAAAATCAATAATATCAAATTAAAAAGCTGAATTTGTCCCTATCTTTTGATAAATAGTATACATGTCAAAAAAGTATCAATAGTAATAGGAAAATTGTTTTAAAAATATTCAATTGTAATAAAAATATATAATTCTTTTCAAAACTAACAGTTATTTTTATTTAATTAATGTCTTTGGATAACTTAATCCATTCAGCCACGATAATGTATTTGACTACCTGAGTTTGTTAAGGATTTATTGACCTATTGCATTTGTTTGTAGCGTTTTAAGTTTCTTTTAACTATGAAATATTTATGTATAAAATTTTAAAGTACGTCTCTGTCTGAGATATGAATTTTTGCGTTTTATCTGTTTGCAACGGAAGTTTAAATGTCCGATATATTGCGTTTAATTTTATACGATACGAGTTGCAAAGTCTTATGCTTTTTTTCTAAGACGCATTAATGCTGGAAGCAGATCCAAGGTTATTTTTCATGATTCGTAGGTCTAACGAATTTGTTTTAGTTCGGTGGCACGAACGGGCATCGGAAGAGGTGTAAAAGGAAGTGATTTGCTTTTTGTTTGGAGATCGTCTACACCGGGATGGCTTGGGAATTAACATAAACGGGCAAAATCTGAATCATTTACGATATGCTGATGATATTGTATTATTAACAGAAAAAAGTGAAGAATTACAAAGAATGATGGAAGAATTAGATAGAGAATCGACAAAAATTGGACTCAAGATGAATTACAGTAAAACAAAAACCATGACTAATCAACCAGAAGAACTGATAATTACAGTGGCACAAACAAGAATAGAACAAGTAAAAGAGAATATATATCGAGGCCAAATCACTAAATTAAATAAAGAAAATCAGACCGAAGAAATAAAGAGAAGAATAAGATTGGCCTGGGCATCATTCGGAAAACTGTCTCATATTCTAAAGAATTCAAAATACCCCCAATACCTAAAAACCAGAGTCTTCAATCAATGTATACTCCCTGTCCTCACATATGGCTCTCAGACATAGACGTTTACAAAGGAAAATATGGAAAAATTAGCAAAGACAGAAAGATCCATGGAAAGACAAATGCTGAAAATTAAACTATTAGACAGAAAAAGAAACGAATGGATCCGTAATAAAACAAAAGTGACAGATGTCTCAACCTAAGTAGCAAAGCTTAAATGGAAGTTCGCCGGACACACCCTAAGGCAGAAAGATGAAAGATGGACTAAGACAATTATACATTGGAGACCATGGAATCACAAACGAAAAAGGGGAAGGCCACAAATGCGATGGTCAGATGACCTGAAGAAACACGCCGGGTCAAAATGGATGCAAATTGCCCAAGATAGAGAGGCATGGAAGAAGGAGGAGGAGGCCTATATCCAAGGATGGATGTTTAGGGTTGTATAGATAGATTGGAGATCGAACGAGGTCAACGGCAGGTTTGGGAACGAAGTCAAGTTGAACGGACGTGTGAGCAGTTTAAGTGAGCAGAACCGGCAATTTTGTGTAATGGTAATAATTATGGAATGTGTGGAAATTTACTCTCTGTAATATGACAGATTAGAAAAAAGTAACCACTATTTTTGTTAAATATTAAAGGGATTTGTGCAGTGTACCAGAAATATGGAAAATGTTTAAAGCAGTTTATAGGGTGTGCCCACTGTGCCGTTGATTTGGTTCCAACTTCATTTTCATTTGTCTCTGGTCTTTTCAGTCCAGTTTAAAGCAGTCCTTCTGTATAGCAGAGGTTCCAATAAATTCTCGTTTAATCCTCAGAAGTTTCAGTGCAAAATTTTATGTGAATTAAATGTAACATTTTGTGTTTAATTTTCAAAGTAAAATACACATTTTTTTTCAAATAATAATAATTGCTTTCGTTTAAAATTTAAGAATCTGTAATAATTAAAATTATATGTATTAGGACGTAGTCATAGATGTCATATTTATTCTCTGTCTTAAAATGCCTTATTATTTTTGACAATATTTTATTTTCGTTTTTTAAAGAAGGTTAATTTCTTTATGAATAGTTTAATTAAAAAGAAAATTCTTTTCTTGTAATAATTTTTTATTTGCCACAGTTATAGCCCAATAACATTTGTAAGTTATGTAGCAATGTCCACTTGTAAACAAAAATAGGACACATGTAAGTTTTTCTTTGTTTATTTCTATATCTACGTTTGTGGCTATTAATAGTCTTCATGTATTTGAAACTAATTATACCATATACATTTTGCATCATTTTATATTTTGTAGCTGTTTGTGTTGACAGTAATAAATGTTTGATTTATTTCTCCAACCATTTTTTTTATTTTAGAAAAATCTCCTAACCTTTTTTTGTGCTTACTTTTTTTTTGGAAAGAAGAGCCTTTTTGGAAAGAATTGCTAGAAGCCCTTCCTTGTTGTCTTATTTGCTCAGTTGTCCAGGAGATTTATGTAAGTACCCTTTGTTTCATATTTGTGTAGTTACCCCAATCTGACCCTTTGTTATTCAACTTATCCATGACCCAGCTCTCCAATTAACCCCTGAGTGCCGTACGCATAAGTATCGATTTGTTTTGCTTGCCCTATCTCAACCCCCTTAGTTTCTGTCTCCAATTTTCCACCCCCATGATCTTACTTAAGGTAGGCAAAATATTTCGTTACATGTTAACAAAATAGTACTTCGCCTAGAGGTAAATTAAAAATATATCAGTATCTCAAGAATCAGTAGATTGACAAGAAACCATATTTTGATTCGTTACATTCAGGGCCCTAACCAACTTAAAGTGAATATTTAGTACTAACAAGGAATTACATAGTATAGGAATACTTTTCAGGCTAAGGTGCCTTTCATAGCGACTTTATTACAACACAAGACAGGGAACGGCTAGGAGGTAAATGTATAGCATAAAGATAGACAGAGGGGACGAAGCTAGGTTTATAGATTCACATTACACATTCCAACCTAAAGTTTACTTTTGGTCCTTTTTAAATACCCCCAAAAAATTTGGTTAAGCCTATTACTATATATTACGACGATAGATTTATAAAGAAGAAGATTGAATCTGATGAAGAGGTATTTGTTCTTTTATCAGATTTTCCAATAGATACTTAATAGCAGCATCATTGTATATGCACCTGAACATCCAATGATTGATACCGCCAGTATTACCATTACAATTGCAGAGTTATGTTTCACTTAAACTAAATCTATGAAAATAGGCTTTCACAGTAGCATGATTAACAAGGCATCTAACAAACATTGAAGATACTCGTCTATTCGGATGACTTCTTGCAGCAAAAGGCGTTGCTAAAAGTTGTTGCTTCTGTTACACAAAGCATTCCATTCAATTTCCAAAAAACAAGAGATGTTTCAATGTTTACCCTCTGGCCAGTCCTCACTATATTCTTTATATTTTTTTTTATGTGAAGTCAATTCATCTTCTTCAATAGAGCGGATCTTGTGTTTTCGTCAAAATCAAATCGGATGATAAAAAATAACTGCTTCTCAGTTTACATGAATCATCTGTTATAGTTTTGGATAATGACCCATACCATTCGGAAATTTTAAATAAGCAATCAACAAATTCCTGGTCAGTACACAAAATAAAAAAAAACGGTTAACGAATGAAAATATTTCATTTCATCAGGATTCCTCAGGATGACGGGATTACTACAGTTAGCCAAAAGGAATGAAATACCAAAAATATTTATAGTGGACGAAATTATACATAGTTTTGGACATCATGTGTTAAAATTGCCCCCTTACCATTGTGAATTTAATTCTATTGAACACATTTGAGGAATATGCAAAACTTACTACTGTAACTATATTGAACGTAACGGTTACTGATGCAGCAGTTTTGAAAACATGGCAAAAAGCATTGAATACTTTACTCGTGAAATTTGGGGAAAATGTGAGGAAATGTTAAAAGTTAATGGAAGAATGCTGGATGCGTGATTGCGTGAACAATTTGGAAACAATAGAGGTTTTATTTCTTCTAATTTTGCATTAATAATTGTATATTTCTCAAATGAATTTCTGCGTTTTGAACTGGCCCTCTCCTAGCCAGTGTGTTTCGTTATATTTTTTCTGTAGTCCAATTGCTGTATTTCCATACGATGCCTGGTCATTATCAAAGGATTAATTGGTTTTTTACTCCTCAACCTGCACTCACAGAAGCGCCAATCGTCATCCAGTCTGCGTGAAAAAATCCAGTATGAAGTGAATTTTCACAAGTGCGGTCCACAATCTTTTATCTCTTTTTCTAATCGTAATGTTATTATAAATTAAGTTTTGTAAATTATTAATAAGTGGTACTTTATGTGCCCAGTCAAAAAAATTTAAAATTTAAATTGGCCCGTTAATTAAAAAGGTTGCTCACTCCTGCTGATCAAGTAGCAAAAGAGTATAGAGTTACGTCGTTACGATAATTGCGAACTTGACCTACTCAACTAGTCTGAGATCAAATGAAGGGATATATCACAGGAAACTCATACCGCTAAAGAAATTGAAGAAATTATCATGAAAATTTTTCCACATCAGATTAATTAAAATTACAATCAGAATTAAAAACACGTGTAAAACTTGATATGCAGCTAAAAATTCAATTTTAAATTCAGAGAAAATGATATACACAGACTCAACAATAATTAATTCAAATACGCCAATGAATTTATTTCTTGCAAAAAATTGAAATAATCAATCTTTCTCCAGAGACAGGCTTCTATCGCCCTCTAGCGAAAAACTGAAATAATAAAGTGAGAGATCAATACACTGCTGGTAGCACCATATCGGTATATATTTTGATAGTCGCGGTCGCTCGCGTTTCTAACGTTAGATGGCGCCATACAGCTAAGAATGCCTCAAAAAGAAATATTAAGGTTAAATCGTATAGAAGCATTCACCATTAATTTAAATAAATGAAATTGAAATATTTTTGAACTATGTATATTATATTAAAAAATCAGCGGCGTTATTAGAAACTGAAAGGAGGGTACGTTTTATAAAAGTGTTTTTAAACTTCAGGTTATAGTTGAACTATGGTCTTACAACGAAACTATCGATACATTAAGGGCGCGGCATTAGTCATACTAAAAATCAAATTAAGACAAAGCTCAAGGCACTATAACTACCTCATAAAAAATAAGATTCACAAATATTACCACGGATACCTACAGTATAAATGCATTGAATAGGTTCTAAGATGAGTAACGATTTACTATTACTATCTTAACAAAATTAGTTTTATTTTTTTATGAAGTTTGAAGTGTGATCAGCAAAAAATTGTACATACCTGGCTCGGAAGTAGGTGGAGTCAGTGGACTTTCTGGTAGAAGAATTCCTTTCATTACTAAATCATCCCTATTGGCTCGGACTGATATTTTTCTTTCTAATGCTATAACAAAAAAGGTATTGTGAGAAATTAATTTAAAAAAAGGAAATATATACAATTGATATAAAATAAGAAAAAAATTTAAAACTAAACAAATTACAGAGTCATACATTTTTCTTCTTGTGACATAAGAGAAGTCTAATTCTTAAAGATAGCTCCTCTGGATGTACGAACATCCAAGCCTATATGGAATCACACTTTATTTTTAATAAAGATCAATATGTATGTATAGCGTTAACAGGCCTTTTAGGCCCATTGCTGGATGGATTATTTCCATTGTTTTCTGTTCTATTCAGTCCCATTTTAGAGCTTTCCCGAATCAGTCTTTTTGCTGTATTTGCCAGATCTGTTCCATTTCTTGGAACGAGAACCACATCATCAGCGTATGCTAAGCATTGGTGCTCTTTGTATAAAATAGTGCCGGATCTATTTATCCCATTCTTCTTCTTCTTCCTATGCCGTCCCCATTAACGGAGGTTGGCGACCACATTTTTAAAAGCTTCTCTGTCTTTTGCAACGTGGAATAATTCGTCTACAGTCATGTTTGTCCAGTCTTGAATATTTCGCAGCCATGACTTCCTCTTTCTACCTATTCCCTTTTTGCCATCGACTCTACCCTGCATGATGACCTGCAGAAGACTATATTTATTATTTCTTAGTATGTGTCCAAGGTATGCAGTCTTGCGTACTTTTATCGTTCTCAACTATTTTTTGACTCGACCCATTCTTCTCAGCACTTCCTCATTGGTGACCCTGGCAGTCGGGATTCTCAACATTCTCCGGTATATCCAAAGTTCAAAGGCTTCAGTCTTTTTAACTATTTGCGCTTTTAGTGTCCATGTTTCTACCCCGTACAATAATTGCGACCAGACGTAACATTTAACAAACCTCAGTCCCAGCGCAATATTCAGATTTTTGTCACAGAACAATTGTTTGAATTTTAAGAACGCTGCCCTTGCCATTTCTATTCGTACCCTGATCTCTTGGTCTGGATCTAATTCTGTGTTGATGTAAGCTCCCAGATATTTATATTTTGTCACTCTCTCTATTTGCTGTCCACCAAGAGTTAGTTGTTCATTATTTATTGGACTCCTTGATACTATCATAAATTTGGTCTTATCTGTGTTGATGTCAAGTCCCATTTGAATGCATTCACTATTTATTGCATCTAGTAAAGTTTGTAGATCTTCTATACTCTCAGCCATAATTACCGTGTCATCTGCAAATCTCATGGTGTTTATGATTTCTCCACCAATTCTTATTCCCTCTTTTCTTTCCCATAAGGCTTTTCTGAATATGACCTGTGAGTACACGTTGAAAAGCGTCGGAGACAAGACGCATCCTTGCCTAACCCCTCTCGCAATCGGTATATTATTTGTTTCTATATCGTTCACCTTTACTACTGCTTTCTGGTTCCAGTATATAGCCTTAATAAACTCAATGTCTTTTTTGTCTAAATTGATGTTTTTTAATTCATCTATTAACTTCATATGCTGCACTCGGTCAAAGGCCTTCCTAAAGTCTATGAAGCATACATATGCACTCTTGTTATATTCCCGACATTTCTGCAAGAGTACCGTCAACGCAAATAATGCCTCTCTTGTACCCATGCCTCTTTTGAAGCCAAACTGAGTTTCATCTATCTGTTCCTCACATTTCTTATAAATTCGGCTTTGATATATTATATATATAATCGGTTTAAAACGTCCTCCGACGTCTTCCGATGCCCAATCTCCATGCATCTCTATCTTCCCAAAGATCTTCGTCTAAACCTCTCTCTCGGATCTCTCTGTCTATTCCTTCTCTCCAGCTCTTTCTGGGTCGGCCTCTTTTTCTCTTTCCATGTGGTGACCAATCTATAATCTGTTTGGGCGGACGATGTTCTGGCATTCTCTGCACATGTCCATACCACTTTAGTTGTTGTACTCTTATATCTTCGACAATCGTATGTGTGACTTGTTCAAAGCCGACAATTCGGTTTTGAACAATTTTTAAAAGAATCTGTAAAGGGTGGCACATTAGGCTTATCAATCTATAGTCATTACATGATTTGGGATTGTTGTTTTTTGGTAGAGGTAAAAATATCGATTTAAGCCATTCTTCCGGGATGTTGCCCTCTACTACCTGTGCTTTTCCTTGTTTTGCATTCTGTAGGGCATTCTTTACTTCTGAGGGTAAAATTTGTAGGTATTGTTTTTCTTCACCTATATCTTGTTCATTTTCTCTCTCGTCATGGAAAAGATGGATTATATATTGTTCCCATACTTCCTTTATTTTGCTCTCTTCGGTAAGTATTTCTCCATTATTATCTCTTGTTATGAGTGTTCTTCTTTGTCTGGTGTTGCCTGTAAGTTCTTTAATTTTTTTATGTAAGTTTGAGGTGTCATGTTTGTTGCTGAGTTCTTCCAATTCCTGGCATTCTTTGTTCATCCATTCCTCCTTAGCCTTTCTGATTTCATATTTGATTTTATTCTTGGTGGTTTTATATTTATTTTCATCTTTATTTTTGTATTTTCTTTTTTCAGTTATTAGCTCAACTATTTCCGGTGTCATCCAGTCTTTTTTAGTTATTTTCTCTTCTTCGCCTAGGACCTCCTTTCCCGCTTTTAGTATGGCTTTTTTCATATTTGCCCATTCAACGCTTCCTTCAGTTAAATTATTTATCTCTGCGTTTAGTTGCTGTTGGCAGTTGTCGTCTTTTAGGTTTTTGATGTTAATTTTGGTGGTTTTAACTTTTTTCTCCGGTTTCCTGAGTTTAATGTTGACGTTTGCTAGTAATAGATTATGATCCGTATCTGCATCTGCGCTTGGATAGGTTTTTGCACTTTGTACTCCATTACGAAACCTTTTGTTAATCGTTATAAAATCTATTTGGTTTCTGATTATATTGTTGGTGTTATCTTTTGGAGAAGTCCACGTGTATAATCTTCGTAGGGGTAGGTCGTAGTATGTATTTGTTATGACTAATTCTTTCTCCTGGCAGTACTGGACTAGTCTGTCTCCTCTTTCGTTTCTTTTACCTAACCCAAAATTTCCTACTATATTTCCAGTTTTTCCTCGACCGACTTTAGCATTAAAGTCGCCCATTTATCCCATTAATCTTTACAATTTTCTGTAGAACTATATTGAATAGCAAGGTAGATAACACCTTTTTTTTTACTTCGAATTCTCCTGAAACTGTACCACTGAATTTCACAGCAGAAACGGTTTGTCTAATTGTCATTTTTATCAACAATGGAATATTGGACAACATCTCCATTGGAACAATGCAGAAAAAAAACATCAAAGACGATCAATTTCGTTGGAAACGAAAATTGCAACCTTAGATCGCTTAGGAAGAGGAGAAGAATCTACGACACTTGAAAAATATTTTAATTTAGACGAATCAACTTTAAGAGCAATTAAGAAGAATGAAGTAGGGATGTATTATTAGAAAAAACAGAAAGAGCCATCGCAATCTGGACTGAGGAACTAACTTAAAGAAGAATAGTGTAAGTAGTTATTTAATGCAGGAAAAAGCTCGTCAGTTTTATGAGTTAAAGAAACAGTCAGAGCCACCAACTTTCACTTCCCAAGCTGGTAAAAAAATTTCAGCTAGCAAAGGATGTCTAATCGGGATTACAAAAAGAAATGCATTTCATAATTATCAAGATCACAGAGGAAAACATCCACCTGCAGACGGAGATCATAAATAATTAGTTTACTTTCAACAACAATATTAGTAAAATGAACAGGTTCCCCTGTTTTCCTGTTTATTGACACGTTATGAATAAATATAAATAGTCGCAAAAACGAATAATGAATTTCTTTCAGTTATTCGAAGTAACTTATCATGCAGCCTATTTCCTTTAATTTCTGGAAACTTTTTTGTTTTTGTCTTAGTTTATGTAATTTTAGAACTACCTCACAAAAAAGATGTTTCGTAATAAATGTTTGAACATGAAAACAATACCTACGTGCATATCGTATATTTATGGTAGTTACTCTATGATTATTTCAATCCGAACATATTTTTGCCGTATCGGCTGAGAGAATGCCATTAAATTTTATTGTGGAAAACTTTAAATTCCACCAATATAAATTTTAGATTTTTCAAGTATAAAACCATTCAAACCTTGAATGCGCAAAAATCGTTATATGGCCACAAAAACGTAATACGTAATTACTTTGAATAATTTTTCCGAGAAGCAGATATGTGACGTGTCGAAAAATAGAATTAAATGAAAAGATATATGAAGCGGTAAACGCAAACCTACATAAATATTCTTTTAGTGACTGTAGGGGAAAGGATGAGGTAGCTGGTTCGATAAATTAGAAGTAAATAAGTATTTGAAAAATTATTTTGTCCGCGGTAAAATCACTGTCACTGTTTGAGTTTAAAAAAAAAAAGATTATTTAGGTGCACTCGATGGTGATTAGTGGCATAAGTAAAGAAATTGATAGGACAATTGTATGTAAAAAGCAATAGATAAAAGAATTATAATAAAAATGTCATTTTGACAAATAACTTGTTAATGAAAAGTAAAGGAATTATTATTAGAAGAATGTCACTCTGACAAGAAATCCGGCTCGAAGGACCAAAACAAATGTAGGGGAAAGGATGAGGTAGCTGGTTCGATAAATTAAAAGTAAATAAGTATTTGAAAAATTGTGATCTCAACTTCCTACATTTGGTAGATAAAAAATAAATTAAACCTCGAAGGACCAGCGACCCATAGGTCGCAAACTTGCGGATATGTAATTACGTAGTGAGTAGTAAAATAGAAAATGAAATAATTAAAATAAGAATAAAAGCTAGAAATATTTTTATTACATTATTTACAAAAATAAACAAAAAAGCGGAATCGCCAACAAATCACCCTTTTTATAATAATAAAATATAAATGTTTATGTACAATTTTCTTAAACGCACAACTGTTTATATGAAAATATAGAACAATAAAGTTTATATGTAGA